CAAATGCTAAGAATTCGGAAAAAACGTCAGTTTTGGACACCAAAATGGTCGCTGACATGCGAGGAGAAGTAAAATTTGCACATCAAACTGGGCACCACTTATGCAGAGGTGCAAAACTGAGGGAATTAGCATAACTGCTAAAAACCATGAGCTAACTGTTTACGGAAGGGTACCGCACTGCATCAGTGCTGTCCTTTCCGATTTTCGCATCTCAGCAACAACAACAAATGTTGGTACCAAAAACAGGAACGAAGGAAAAACGTAGAGGAACACAGACGCGGAAGATGTATCACAGACTACCTAGGCCATAATTCTATGAAAAAAAAGGTGAAAAAGGAGCAATGCAACCAGAATAAACAAGAAAAAGCTGCTCGGCAGCCACAACGTCAAAAACCTGGATGCTTAGAACAACAGCAAATACATTATTCTTCTATTGTTGAGTGGGCACTTTGTCCTCTACATTCCTTTTACTGGAGGCTACAGGAAATGCTCCTGATACGAGAATGCTTACTGCCTTAACCTTTCTTTATTTTAATTATTTTTAACTCAGAATTTATATTAAACAAAAAATCTCAATTTTATTTTCTAAAAAAATCTACTTCCTGTCCCAGTCGTACTGACGAGGTCCAGTTGTGGCACTGGCACGAAATGAATGTAACATTATTATCAAAAATCTCCTGCCTAGTTTTACTAACTTTTCTAAGTTTTAAGTTTCGTTACCTGTAGCATTTTTTTTTTCATTCATTATCTTAATTTTAGGTTCAATTACACAACAAACAACAACAAGCACGAAAATATTTCTGGGGAACTGGCCACATGGCTAGCGATACTGACACAAGGAAAAAGAAATTATGAAGGTTATACCATGCGCAAAAATGATGACACACAAACATACTAATTGCTTATAGCCCATTAAATGTGCAAAAATGGAGGTAAACATTTAATAAAATCTTAGAAAAATACCCTTTTTTAAAACAAAATGAATTGCCCGTCAAGAAATCGTCGTTTCCTTCTTGAGCATTTCCCAGCCGACCATATTACCCGAATTAGATTCGAGTTTTATACGTCTGCGTGCTGACATTTACCAGCGTCTTGGCATTACGACTTGTCCATCCTTGAATCATTATCAGAGCGTCAAGCAATGCTTTTCGTGCCTCCCTGCAATATTTTTTTTTCAACACTTATTAGCTCCGAAAGAAAAAATTCACAATTTGCCCTCGCTGCCTCCTCGGGAATGCTTCAAATACTTCAAGGCGTCTGAGGCTTACTTGCTTAGGGTAATGTTTGAAGTT